GCTGGTCTCTAACTCCAGGCATCAAGCAAATCTCCCTCCTTGACCTCCCAAAGTGCTGGGATTACAGGCGTGAGCCCTTGTGCCCAGCCTGCAGTGCCTTCTCTAATTTGCACTAGACATTTACAGATTAAGGAACACTTGTTTTTTTTATTTTTTATTTTTTTTATTTTGAGAGAATGTCTCGCTCTGTCACTCAGGCTGGAGTGCAGTGGCGCAGTCTTGGTTCACTGCAACCTCCACCTCCTGGACTCAAGTGATTCTCCTGCCTCAGGCCTCCCAAGTGGCTGGGATTACAGGAATGCGCCACCACACTTGACTAATTTTTGTATTTTTAGTAGAGATGGAGGTTTTGCCATGTTGGCCAGGCTGGTCTCAAACTCCTGATCTCAGGTGATCTGCCCCCTTTGGCCTCCCAAAGTGCTGGGACTACAGGCGTGAGCCACCGTGCCTGGCCAGATCAGGGACATGTATAGCTGTGATGCTGTCCCCCAACCCCCATGACTTGCTATGCCCTCCAGGCCCCAGGGGAGCTCCACTCAGAGGTCCCCTCATAGTCCCTGGTGGTGACTTCCTGGGAGGACAGCAAGAGGTGAGACTCAGCCCCCATATCAGGGATTCTGAGCTTTTTGTTTGTTTGTTTGTTTTTGAGATGGAGTCTTGCTCTGTTGCCTAGGCTGGAGTGCAGTGGCATGATCTCAGCTCACTGCAACTTCCAACTCCTGGATTCAAGTGATTCTCCTGCCTCAGCCTCCTGAGTAGCTGGGATTACAGGTGCCCGCCACCACACCCAGCTAGTTTTTGTATTTTTAGTAGAAACAGGGTTTCACCATGCTGGTCTCGAACTCCGGATCTTGTGATCCACCTGCCTCAGCCTTCCAAAGTGCTAGGATTACAGCATGAGCCACCGCACCTGGCTGGATTCTGAGCTTTGAGGGCCAGTGCCAGACTGGCTGAGACCAGCTCAGCCTCACCCAGCTCCCTCCAATATCCTGCTTCTTCCCTCCCCTCCCCTGCCAGTCCCTGAACTCTAGGACTGTCCCAACCCCGATAGGTCCTGGTGTGTACATGTGGGAAGGGTAGGGAGGTATATGGGGGGCCAGCCTGACCCCTGTCCTGCTCTGGGCTCTGCCAGAGTGGCATAGGGCTTGGGTGGTCTGGGACTCTGTCCGTGGGCTGGAGCTCCAGTTCCCCCGACCCTCCTGTCCCTCCTCCTCCCAGTGGCTCTCCCCCATCACGAAGAGGCTCTGCCCCGCCCTTTGGACCCAGCTCTGGGGTCCCGTCACCTGTGGGCACCTTTTGCTTCTCTCTCCACCCTCTCAATGGAGCCGTCAAAATCTGTGCCTGCCAAACCCTGAGTTGATTCTATAGTAGGAGTGATGATGGCACCTGGAAATAATTCACTCCCTGGCAGCCAAGGCCCAGGGCTGCCTGATTTTACAGACAGTGATGTCAGCAAACCCCAGAACCCCTCCTGTGGTGGAGGGGCAGTTCCAGGCCTCTGCTGGCCTGTCCTGCCTTTTTGTTTGTTTGAGACCGGGTCTCACTCTGTTGCCCAGGCTGGAGTCAGTGGTGGGATCTCAGCTCACTGCAACCTCTGCCTCCCGGGTTCAGGCAATTCTCCTGTCTCAGAGTTTGAGACCAGCCTGGCCAACATGACAAGTCCTGACTCTACTAAAAATACAAAAATTGGCTGGGCATGGTGGCAGGTGCCTATAATCCCAGCTACTCAGGAGGCTGAGGCAGGAGAATCGCTTGAACCCGGGAGGTGGAGTTTGAAATCACACCACTGCACTCCAGCCTGGGTGACAGAGTGAGACTCCATCTCAAAAGAAAAAAAAAAGGAAAAAGAAAAAAGCAAAGGCATGACAGGCCTGGAGAGGACTGGGCCGAGGGCTGGGACCTGCCCTGACTCCCCACCCTGCTCCTGAGATGGGTATCTGGACAGGGAGCCCACTAGTGAGCAGACATTAAGAGGCTGGGCCGGGCACAGTGGCTCATTCCTGCAATCCCAGCAGTTGGGAGGCTGACACAGGAGGATGGCTTGAGCTCAGGAGTTTGAGATCAGCCTGGGCAACATAGCGAGAGACTCCATGTCTACAAGAAAAAAAAAATTCGCCAGCCATGCAGTGCACTTCTGGAGATGCCTTGAGCCCAGTAGTTTAAGTCTGCGTCACTTAGCATGGGGCACCAAGATCTCACTACTGCAAGCCAGCCTGTGTGACAGTGGGAGACTGTCTCTGAAAAAAAAGAAGCTGGCTTTCAGAGGCCGAGGCCGGAGGATCACGAGATAAGGAGATGGAGACCATCCTGGCCAACATGGTGAAACCCCGACTCTACTAAAATAAAAAAAATTAGCTGGGCATGTTGGCGCACACCTGCTGTCCCAGCTACTCGGGAGGCTGAGGCAGGAGAATCACTTGAACCCGGGAGGTAGAGGTTGCAGTGAGCTGAGATTGCACCACTACACTTCAGCCTGACATCAGAGCAAGACCCCATCTCAAGAATCAGAAAAGAAGCTGGGTGGTATGGGGTGATATGGGAGGTGGTGTGGACACGCTCCAGGCCCTTCCTTGCAGGGTGCCACCCTTCTTAGGGAACCTGAGAAAGTCAGGCTGGGGGCTGATGTTGGAAACAGATGCTCAGTTCTGAAAAGAAAAATTAACACTGAGACTAAGGATCTTTCAGCAACACAATTTTTACTTCCTGGACTGCAGAAAGGGTACCCTTGCTAGCTAACATGCCACAAAAGTACAATGAACAAAGGAAAACACACAGATTTATCCCTTATGAGGCCAGGCACAGTGGCGCATGCCTATAATCCTAGCACTTTGGGAGGCCAAGGTGGGTGGGTCACCTGAGGTCAGGAGTTCGAGACCAGCCTGACCAACATGGTGAAACCCCATCTCTAAAAAATAAAAGAAATAAAAACAATAAATTTATCCCTTAGGCATTTGGGGTCGTCCTTACTGCTGTGTCTGATCTCCCTTGGCTGGAGCCAGACCTCACAATCTAAACTAAAACCCGATTGGCTAGTAACTTAAAACTTTTTTAAACAGATAAGGGGCCTCGGCTGTAAGCTGGGACGTGCCTATGAGCACGTCCAGCACAAATATCTTGCTTAAAGTACAAGGACGTAGAATGTTCTACGTGCCTGTAAGCATACAGCTACATAGGCTAGGGCTTAACAAAGAGTTACTAGCACGTGTATGATTTATTCTTAAGAAGGAAACTTTAAAGAGGAACTTTTCTACTTCCCACAGCTGAGAAAAGAACATGGGAGTGTCTTGCTACAGCCTCAGACTCTGGGTCTCTCAAAAATTTGAGGACATCGAGACTGAGCTCCAAAGTCCCCGTCTGCTTTTGTTTTTGTGAAACAGTTTCCACTCGTCCCCCAGGCTGGAGGGCAATGGTGCGATCTGGGCTCACTGCAACCTCTGCCTCCCAGGTTCAATCGATTCTCCTGCCTCAGCCTCCCGAGTAGCTGGGATTACAGGCGTGTACCACCTCACTGGGCTAATTTTTATATTTTTAGTAGAGGCAGGGTTTCAGCATGTTGGCCAGGGTGGTCTCGAACTCCTGACCTCAAATGATCCACCTGCCTTGGCCTCCCCAAGTGCTGGGATTACAGGCATGAGCCACCACGCCTGGCCCCCCATCTGCTTTGTACCTCCACAGCTCTCCCTGGGCCTGGTTAGAGGGTGGCAGCTAGGGCAAGGGCAGACAACAGAGACAGGAACTGGGCCCATGGAGGCCTGGCTACACCTGGAGGCAGGCCAGCTGGAAATAAACACAGGCAACAGAACCACCGGCACAGCCGGCAGCACAGGTCTGAGCGCGTCGGCCAGGGCACTGCCCAGTCTCCCCACCCCGAGACTCTGCGGGCTCCGTTCTCACCCCAGTTCTGCCTGCCAGTTCCCTTGTGACTGCCAACAGGGATGCCCTGGCCTCAGGGGGTGTGGTGGTGAGAGACCTCAAAGCTTACCAGGTCCACTGTGGTGCCCTTGAGGTGCGCTGAAGCCGAAGCCAAGCTTCTGACACAGTAATCCTGCCATCAGCTCTGCGGGGAGGTGCAATTACCCCCGTGTCCCTTCACCTGGGCCCCAGCCTAGCCGACCCTGAAAACTCAAGCCTCAGGTGCTTCCCATTCCGTCCCTTCTACACCTTAACAGTTTTAATTGCAACCATGACCTTGCAATCACGACCTTCTTTTTTCTTTTAAAGACAGGGTCTCTCTCTTTCTGAGTTTTTACTTATTTATTTATTGAGACAGGATCTTGCTCCGCTGCCCAGGCTGGAGTGCAAAGGCACAGTCTTAGCTCACTGCACGCTTCAACGCCTGGGCTCAAGCAATCCTCCTGCCTCAGTCTCCTGAGTAGCTGGGACTACAGGTGTGCAATACCACCCCTGGGTAATTTTTATTTTTATTTTTTTGAGACAGTCTTGCTCTGTCGCCCAGGCTGGAATGCAGTGGCACGATCTCGGCTCACCACAACCTCTGCCTCCAGGGTTCAAGTGATTCTCCTGCCTTAGCCTCCTGAGCAGCTGGGATTACAGGCCTATGCCACCATGCCTGGCTAATTTTTGTCTTTTTAGTAGAGATGGGGTTTCAGCATGTTGGTCAGGCTGGTCTCCAACTCCTGACCTCATGACCCACCCCCCTCGGCCTCTCAAAGTGCTGGGATTACAGGCATGAGCCACTGCGACCGGCTTTTTAAGAGATAGGGTCCCACTGTGTTGTCCAGGCTGGCCTTGAACTCTCGGCTTCAAGCAATTCTCCTGCCTCAACTTACCAAAGAGCTGGGATTACAGGTATGAGCCACAGTGCAGGACAATAGGACCTCTGTCTTTATGGATTTGAGTCAGCCTGGGCCTAGGAGTACCCACATGGCCCAGCATGGGGCTGGGCACCCAGTACACCCTGAGCAAAGGTGGCTAGTGTAAGCCAGCGAACGGCAGGTGCTCGAGGCCTCCTTCCACAAACACCAGGGTCTGAGCCAGGGACAAGTGGGTTGCTTCGAACTTTATTTGAGAAAAACAGAAGATAAACGTATCAAAAGAACACACAGGTGGGGGGGGCATGGCCAGTGGAGGTGGCACGGGTGGGCATCCGGGCTAAGGCTTTTACTTGGCTGCAGACTGGTCGGATTTCGCAGCTTCTGGGCCCCCAAGCTGGGCCCGCGACTCGAAGGTGACGGGGATGGTGATCTCGTTGGACTGCGTGGCTGGCTTGGGCATGGGTGCCTCCACGGTCAGTGTGCCCTCAGGGGACAGGGAGGAGGAGACCTGGGTGGGGTCCACACCAGTGGGCAGCCTGGACGTGCAGAGAGAGGGAAGGTGAGCGTTAATTTACACACCGGGTGGGTCCCTGTGCCCTCCTCCCTAGCCCCCGCCACCCACCCACCCCGACCTGGCGCCAGGACTCACGTGTATTTCCGGGTGAAGCAGCGGGAGATGAATCCGTGCTCATCCTGCCGCTCCTCATGCTTGCCTTTGGGGAGAGGAAAATCAGAATGAGGGGGAGGGGACCGACTCTCGGCCCCGCCAGGCCAAAGGCCCCACCTCCAGCTTGGAGGCAGCCAGGACTGCAGGCTGGCAGGGATTAACAGAGGGGGCTGGGAGTAGGGGCGTGCCCGCCTGTCCAGGCTCTCAGAAACTTCCGGAAAGTTCGAGTAGGAGTTTTGGGAGGAATGGAGCAGGGTGCCGAGGGGCGGAGGGAGCAACGCGCAGGCGCACCGGGAACAGCACGAACGCCCCCTGCGCGGCTAGGGACAGGGACCGCGCCAGGGGACCCGCTTATGTGGGGATGGGGCTGCGGGTGGGGAGAGGGTTCCGTGGAAAAGGAGCATTTCTTCACTGATGATCTTTTAAAAAATTTTTGGTTGCTTTTTTATTTTCTTGTAGTTGGTGAGAGGCCTCGATATATTGCCCAGGCCAGTCTTGAACTCCTGGCCTCCGCCTCCCAAGGCGCTGAGCTTACAGAGCAGAAAGCAACCTGCACTCCCAGTTCCTGAGCAGGGGAATCACGGATCCCGCTTTTCCCGGTGCCGGGCTAACTTTTAACTCCCCAGGCCCCGGGTTTCAGCCGCACCCCCGGGCCCCGCCCGCCCCGCTAGCCTCCTCCCTCCCCTGCAGGGCCAGGGGCTGCTCACCCGTGATCTCCACCACGCCCTCCTTGGTCTTGACCGTCAGCTCCTCGGGGGCGAAGTGGTTGACGTCCAGGGACACGCGCCAGCGGTCCGCAGTGTGCCGGATCTCCGAGACCCCGCTGCTGAGCTGGCGGCTGAGCGCGCGGCTGTAGGCGGGCGCGGCCACCGCGGGGCCCTCGACCGCGGCGGGGGGCAGGGGGCGCACGTAGCCTGGCCAGCTGCTGGTGCCGAACCACTGCGACCACTCCTCCGGCAGCCGGGGCATCCCGAAGGCCTGGTCGAAGAGACGGCTGTGCGGGTACCAGTCGCGGAAGGGGTCCCAGCTGGGGCTCCGCAGGAACGAGAAGGGGACGCGGCGCTCGGTCATGCTGCCGGCTGTGCTGGGGACGTCTGCTCGGAGAAGTGCGGGCCGCGGAGCCAGGTCGCGCTTTTATGCGCCTCCAGTTGGGTATTTTTAGCAGGCGGTGTTTGAGGTCTCTATTAATGGAAATGACCCGTTTGGGACCGCCCCTCCCCGTGCAGTCCCCCCATCCCCCAGCGTTCAGGGGGCCGTGGGCGGGGCGAAGAGGGTTCTGCCCCAATCTGGAACCTTCTCTCGTTAAGGAAAACAAATGAGTTCGAGAGTGCGACGCTGGAGACGTGCCACACCAGGCACTCGGAGGCCCTGGCGCTTAAGCGCTGGCGGGTGTGGCCGGCGGCCTGGCCCGTCCTTTTGTTAAGCAGGACAGCGCCAGACAGGTTGGGCTGGGGCAAACAGCTGGGAAGTGGCAGAGGCAGGGTTGGAACCACAAGGCTGTTTGATGGAATGTGATGTAAAGTGGCCTGGTGGTTGGGTCCAGGAGTTCGAGGCTGTAGTGAGCTATGTTCTCACCACTGCACTCCAGCCTAGGCAACAGAGCAAGGCCCTGTTTCTTAAAAAAATAAAAAGAGGGGCCGGGCGCCGTGGCTCACGCCTGTAATCCCAGCACTTTGGGAGGCCGAGGCGGGTGGATCACGAGGTCAAGAGATCGAGACCATCCTGGTCAACATGGTGAAACCCCGTCTCTACTAAAAATACAAAAAAAAAATCAGCTGGGCATGGTGGCGCGTGCCTGTAACCCCAGCTACTCAGGAGGCTGAGGCAGGAGAATTGCCTGAACCCAGGAGGCAGAGGTTGCGGTGAGCCGAGATCGTGCCATTGCACTCCAGCCTGGGTAACAAGAGCAAAACTCCGTCTCAAAAAAAAAAAATAAAATAAATAAATAAAAATAAAAAAAATAAAAAGGGGGTTGGGCGCGGTGGCTCAAGCCTGTAATCCCAGCACTTTGGGAGGCCGAGGTGGGCGGATCACGAGGTCAAGAGATCTGAGACCATCCTGGCCAACCTGGTGAAACCCTGTCTCTACTAAAAATACGAAAATTAGCTGGGTGTGGTGGCGTGCGCCTGTAGTCCCAGCTACTCGGGAGACTGAGGCAGGAGAATTGCTTGAACCCAGGAGGCAGAGGTTGCGGTGAGCCAAGATTGTGCCACTGCACTGCAGCCTGGCGCCTGTCTCAAAAATAAAATAAAATAAAAAAATAAAAAGGGGCCGGGTGCATGGCTCATGCCTGTAATCTCAGCACTTTGGGAGGAATGGATCTCAAGGGATGGAACCCTTGAGGCCAGGAGTTTGAGACCATTCTGGTCAATATGGTGAGACCTCACCTCTACCAAAAAATTTTTAAAAATTAGCTGGATGGCCGAGCACTGTGGCTCACGTCTGTAATCCTAGCACTTTGGGAGGCCGAGGTGGATGGATCATGAGGTCAAGAGACCAAGACCATCCTGGCCAAGGTGGTGAAACCCCATCTCTACTGAAAATGCAAAAATTAGCTGGGCATGGTGGCAGGTGCCTGTAGTCTCAGCTACTCGGGAGGCTGAGGCAGGAGGATCACTTGAACCTGGGAGTCGGAGGTTGCAGTGAGCCAAGATTGCACCACTGTGCTCCACCCTGGCGACAGAGCGAGACTCCATCTCAAAAAAAAAAAAAGAAAAAAATTACCTGGGCACGGCGGTGCGCACCTCTGGCCCAGGTTACTCTGGAGGCTGAGGCAGGAAGATCCCTTGAAGCCCAGCGAGTAGAGTCTGCCTTGAGCCTGGATTGCGCCACAGCACTTCAGCCTGGGCTACAGAGCAAGACCCTGTCTCAAAATAAGTACATGAGTAAATACAAATACAAAAATAAAGCAATCTGGGCCAGGCATGGTGGCTCACTCCTGAAATCCCAGCACTTTGGGAAGCCTAGGTTGGGGGATCACCTCCATCCTGGATCACCAGGAGTTTGAGACCAGCCTGGCTAACATGGTGAAATGCCATCTCTAAATACGAAGATTAGCTGGGTGTGGTGGCACATGCCTGTATTCACAGCTGCTTGGGAGACGGAGGTAGGATAATTGCTTGAATCCAAAAGGCTGAGGTTGCAGTGAGCCAGCTGAGATCACACCACTGCACTCCAGCCTGGGCGACAGAGCGAGACTCCATCTCAAAAAAAAAAAAAAAAACCAATCTGGCAATCTGTGTGGTTGTAAGGAGTGTGGGCTTTGGGAGGTTAAGGTGGGAGGATTACTTGAAGCAAGGAATTTGAGACCAGCCTGGGCAACACAGTGAGACTCCATTTCTACTAAAATTCAAAACAAATTAGCTGGGGATGGTGGGGTGCATCTGTAGTTCCAGCTACTCAGGAGGCTGAGGTGGGAGGATCATTTGAGCCCAGCAGGTGGAGGCTGCAATGAGCCTGATTGTGCCACTGCACTCCAGTCTGCATAACAGAACAAGACCCTGTTTATTTTCCTTTTTTTTTTTTAAGACGGGGTTTCACCATGTTGGTCAGGCTGGTCTTGAACTCCCGACCTCAGGTGATCCGCCCGCCTTGGCCTCCAAAGTGCTTGGATTACAGGTGTGAGCCACCACGCCCAGCCGACCCTGTTTCAAAAAGCAAAACAAACAAAAAATTATATTACTGTGGTTTTATTTATTTTTATTTTTGAGCTGGAGTTTTGCTCTTGGTACCCAGACTGGAATGCATTAATGGGATCTCAGCTCACCGCAACCTCTGCCTCACGGGTTCAAATGATTCTCCTGCCTCAGCCTCCTGAGTAGCTGGGATTACAGGCATGAGCCACCATACCTGGCTAATTTTGTGTTTTTAGTAGAGACGGGGTTTCTCCATGTTGGTCAAGTTGGTCTTGAACTCCTGACCTCAGGTGATCCACCTGCCTCAGCTTCCCAAAGTCCTAGGATTACAGGCATGTGCGACCGTGCCCGGCCACCATGTTCTTACTGTACGTCTTCTATGCTTATTTATAATTTTTTTTGAGACGGAGTCTCCCTCTGTCGCCCAGGCTGCAGTGCAGTGGCCCAATTTCGGCTCACTGCAGCCTCCGCCTGGGTTCAAGTGATTCTCCTGCCTCAGCCTCCCGAGTAGCTCAGACTACAGACATGCGCCACAACGCCACCTAATTTTTGTGCTTTTAGTAGAGACAGGGTTTCACCATGTTGGCCAGGCTGGTCTGGAACCCCTAACCTCAAGTAATCCACCTGCCTTGGCCTCCCAAAGTGGTGGGGTGACAGGTGTGAGCCACCGTGCCTGGCTGTCTTCTATGTTTAGAAACACTCATACTTACTGTCATGTTGCAGCTGCCTCCAATATTTGGTGCAGTCATATGCTGTAGAGGTTTGTAGCCTAGGAGTGGGAGGCTAGACCTTACGGCTTAGGACCTAAGTGCACTCTGAGGTGTTCCCACAACGATGAAATTGCCAAACACGGCATTTCTGAATATGGCTCCGTTGTTAAGTGACTCATGACTGTATTGGGTTGGCCTGAGGATTCGGTGACCTAATGCAGGTGAAGGCTTTAGCCCAGAGCCTACGTCATCATAATTATTAGTTGTTATTATCTGCCTGGGATTGAAGAGAGAGAAGGGCAAGGAGAATTGCTGGGGTTTGGCCATTTTCCCCCTGCTCCTAACAGGGGGGCTGGCCCCGATCAGAACCCCGAAGGCGCAGTGCTGAGAGGGATCAGGAGGAAGCTTACTGTCACGTCTCCCACTATATCTGTCTTTTCTTAAGAAGCACTGGTTGGCCGGGCACAGTGGCTCACACCTGTAATCTCGGCCCTTTGGGAGGCTGAGGTGGGAGGATCACCTGAGGTCAGGAGTTTGAGACCAGCCTGACCAACGTGGAGAAACCCCGTCTCTACTAAGAACACAAAATAAGCTGCTCGTGGTGGCGCGTGCCTGTAATCCCAGCTACTCTGGAGGCTGAGGCAGAAGAATTGCTTGAACCCGGTAGGCGGAGGCTGTGGCGAACTGAGGTCGCGCCATTGCACTCCAGCCCGGGCAACAAGAGCAAAACTCCGTCTCAAAAAAAAAAAAAAAAAAAAGCACTGGTTGGCCAGGCGCAGTGGCTCACACCTGTAATCCCAGCACTTTCAGAAGCCGAGGTGGGCTTATTGCCTGGATTCAGGAGTTTAAGACCAGCGTGGCCAACATGGTGAAACCCTGTCTCTACCAAAAATACCAAAAATTAGCTGGGTGTGGTGGTGGGTGCATGTAATCCCAGCTACTGAGGAGGCCGAGGCAGGAGAACCACTCCAGAAGGTAGAGGCTGCAGTGAGCCAAGATCGAACAAACCACTGCAGCACTCCAGCCTGGGTGACAGACGATCTGTCTCAAAAAAAAAAAAAAAAAAAAAAGGGAGGCTTGGTGTCTCAGGCCTGTTGTCCTGGCACATAAGGAGGTGAGGTTATGCATTCGAGGCCGGCCTGGGCGACACAGAAACCCCTCTTCCATATAACAACAACAACAAAAGTTTGGCTGGGCGCGGTGGCTCACGCCTGTAATCCCAGCACTTTCGGAGGCCGAAGTGGGCGGATCACAAGGTCAGGAGTTCAAGACCAGCCTGGCCAACGTGATGAAATCCTGTCTTTACTAAAAATACAGAAAATTAGCCGGGCATGGTGGTGCGTGCCTGTAATCCCAGCTGCTCGGGAGGCTGAGGCAGGAGAATCGCCTGAACCCGGAAGGCAGAAGTTGTCGTGGGCAGAGATCACACCGTTGTGCTCCAGCCTGGGCAACACAGCGAAACTCCATCTCAAAACAGAAAAAGAAAAAAAAAAAAAAAAAAAAGAAAAGAAAAAACAAAACCACGGGCCAGGAACTTGAATTAGTCTGGATCTGGACTGACTGTATTATTATTCTTCTTCTGGACACATCCCCTCCGTACTCCAGGCTCAGTTTCCCTTTCTGTAGGTTTTGATGCCCATATCACAGAGGGAGCCGGGCGCCGATGTAGAGTGTGCACAAACTTGCTTAGAGCCTGGAGCTTGCCCCCTGCCCCACCTCATCCATTTGAACACCGACGGGATCCTGGCCCCCATCTCCAAGCTTGGAGGAGGGTGCTGGCCCTAGATTCCCGCCACAACGCTGACAGTCCCTCTCTCCCGTCTTCGTAGGCATGCGGGGCCTTGCTAGCCTTCCTTCTCCCCTGACTTAGGTCCTGGTCCTGTGATCCCTGTTTTTTTGTTTGTTTGAGCCAGAGTCTCTCTT